TTATGAAAAGAAACATTTATTGATGAGATTCGATTTCATAAGAGTTTTTCATTCCATATTTTCTTTGTGTCTTTTTTTTCTTTTTTTGCAAAATGTATCATCGAAAGAAATACTGTTATAATGAGCAAATATTGATCATATCCAACAACACAACATCAACGAGTTTAAAGTAGACATTTATACGCTCTTACCAAACGAACTGATCAACGAATAGACTTTTCGATTTACTTTTCTCTAGGCACCATTAAATCACATATTTGAAGGGAGAGAAAAAGAGAAGGTTAAGTGTTTGTTATTGTGATCTGCATAGGTAAGTATGATTTATGAGATGCATCATATATATCATCACACATACGTGTACAAAACCACATTAGAATTAAAGAATTCAGTTCTGTTTTTAGTTGCAACCACAACGTATTCAAGCCATAAACAAAAGCAAATAATGTAAGCTTTTAAAATATATCGATAGTAAAAAACAAAGTATCAAATCTTCTTGTGAAAGAAAAAACAAAGAAATTTTTCTGCGTAAGAATATATTTGAAGATAATAATACCTTTTTTATTTTCTATATTAGAAAACTAACATGGATATTGAATATATAATAACAGAAACTATTTATCAAAATGGTACTGGTCAAGTAGCAAAAATTGATTATCAATTTGATGAAACACTTAATATTGATTCATCAACATCAACACCATCAACATCGAGTATAGCACGACAAAATAAAGAAAAACGAAATCGTCAATATGATGTAACAATAACACGTGAACAATATCAAACATTATCTAGACAAATATTAAATGCATTATCATTTGATGCATTTGTTAATGTTTTACGTCCATTTATAATGGGTTATTATACAAATGGTGAACTTGAACGTGCTTTTTATACATTAGATCGTGATCGATCAGGTACAATACATATAAAGGAATTGAGTGCATTTTTACCTATATTAAATGAAACAATAAATAATGATGCTTTAAATGCTTATGTACGAAAAGTTGATGAAAATTTTGATGGTAACTTAAATTATGATGAATTTCGTACACTTGTTTTACGTGGTATTGGTCGAGATATTATTTGTAATCATATATAAAGAAGAAGAAGAATAAGAAGAAGAAAAATCAGAACATAAACTGTTTACTTTATTCTTTTTTTTTCTTCAATTCTGATCTAATATACTTCTTCTTTTTTGTTTTTTTGCTTATTCTAATCAAAAGAAAATTTTTTTTTTTTCTAATTATTAATAAGTTACTTTTGCTTATTTTTTCTTTGTGCATTACAATAAAAAAATTTCATTCTTTTAACATATAAACGAAACTATTTTCATTCAATATCAAAGTTTATTTATGCTAAACTAACAAAAGATTTCATAGGATTGACATTGAAAAAATATTATCAATGAAAATTGATCACGTTAAAACTGAAAAATATGTACTTAAGATTTAATAAAAGTATTTGAGACATTATAGAATAGAATTAATCAAAAGTTTTTTATTTCAATAAGTATATAAGCTAGAAGTCATTGTTGCCTATGTATAATTAATTTGTTTCAAAATTTCTATTAAGACTATTTTCTTCACATTGTATTATTTTACTTACAACACTCAATTTAATGATGAGAAGTTGTTTCAATGGATTTAATTTCCTTAACCTGGTCTACTGAAGAAATAAGACAAATACATGAAATGATAGTAGATGTGCAATACTTGACGTATGATACATAAATGGACTAAAATTTCTTGAAGTAGAACAACTATAAGCACAAAAGCTACATTTTATTATCGATTTCAGAAGTTAAGGCATTCAAATTGTTTTTTGAATGAAGAAGATAAAGACTTGCGATTTTCAGCGTATCTCTGAAAACTACTATAAAAGTCTATTGACTTTTTTTTTACATATTGGGAACTGAATCGACTCATCTATGTTTCGAATTTTTTTTTTGCGTCGAAAAATTCACTCTTAGTCCCCCTGATGGGTAGGTTAAAAAATGAACTCAATCAAAACGCCGTTTTTATTGTTTAATCATTTGCCATTTTACGTTCCACTAGTATTTTACAAGCTATGAACTTGCTTTCCATTGTCTAAGTGACTTTTTACTTCAGTTCATTTTTTGACCTACTCTTCAGTTTTCGATGATCATTAAGAATATGTTTAAAAAAAGTCAATAGACTGTTATGGCAGTTTTCAAAAATCTAGCATAGTTTTTTTAGATGATCCTCCGAACTTTTTTATAGAAAAGATTTTGCTTATGAAAATATGCTCCTAGATCTTGACTATCAAACATTGAGAACCGCAGGTCTCTATCTTCTTCCTATGAAAAATTATTCAAAAAACAACCGAGTGCCTTGACTTCTGATACCGATAACAGTGCTATATGGTAACCTCAAAATTCGTAAAATACAAGTAATAAAATATTCCAGAGCAAAAATTATTTATGACAAAATCAAACTACATGTTTGTAAACTTGGTTTTTCTTTTTTACTATCATCATTATTTTTCGGTTATATTATTTATCAGATCCAATACTATACATGTTATAATTCAAAACAGAAATTTTGAAAACAAAATTGATTGTGTTTGATCGATAATGATTATTATGTCAAATATTTACTAAAGTAAAATTATGAATATATATAAAAATTTTGCGTATAATAATATTATATCAAATTAAAAACATTTTGTTTGATAATTTACAAAATATCAAATTCACAAAACGATTAGATTTCATATTTGATCTCTTTCTTTTAAAATATTTATTATTTTAAGAGAAAAATATTTGTTAAAACGAAAGTTTCGAGAAATTAATACGAACATAAGAGTTCTTCATAATTTTTTTCTATAGTTCAGAATCTCATGAAAATATTGACTTATTGAATAAAGTAACAGTGTATTCAGACGAAACTTTGTCTAAAAGCGATATCAGAGAGTCTCCGAGTCCCGTTACAAACATGATCAAGGATTGATTACGCTTCACAATTTTTTTCTGGACTCATGAGAGTTCCTTCTCAACTTAAAAATCGCTTTTGAGTTCAGACTCAGTGCATTCCTACAGAATTATAGCCGTTTTACTGAAATTTCACCCATAGGATAGGCCTACTTGTAACTAGCTCATAAGATTCAATAATCTCATGTTTCTCGGACATTCAATATCTCGTAAAGGGCATATTCTAGTTACAAATATGCCTATCCTATAGGCTAAAATTTTAGTAAAACAGCTATAACTCTGTAGGAAAGGTCTAGAAAATCTTATCCTTTTGCAATGTCATAATACTTTATTGGCGCTCTATCTTATGCACAGAATCCAAATTTAAAAGCAATTTTCAAATTGATAATGAGTCATTTTAACTTCTGAATCAGTGTTTCTAATAGAAATCTAAAATAAAAATCCAAATGACATTTTATTTTTGCCATCAAAATGTAAAATGACCCTCTATTTTTTTTTTAAACAAAATGTTCAAGATATGGATCATTAGAATTAGATTAACCCTATGACTCCCGGCGACGCATATATGCGTCCCGATCTATTTAACGAATCAAGGCATCAGTAGCATATTTTTAACCGTCTAGAAAAGCTTTTTTTATCGTATATTAGATGGTATCATACGAGTATATTTCCTTTCGGCTTGATATCATCAGAGAAGTTTTGACAAAGTTCGAACCGCAAAGACCTTCTCCTCTGCGTTTAACTACTCGACATTTTCTCTCGCTCATTCCATAGTCTTCGATGTGATACACAATATACGTATCCTAACTGCAATATACCTCTATGTATTGTTGTTTACTTCAAAGATTATCATGCAAAGATGAACTATTAATGCGTTTTTTAACACAGAAATGTAATTCTCTTGTGAAACAAATAAAAATCATATTTAAACATTACTTTTAAAAACTATCTAGACTAATAAAAAAATTAAAGAATTCAAAGTTTGCATACAATGAATAGAAAAGTGCAAAAAAAATTTTCAGCAAATGTTAATTTGGCATTTTGTTTTCATGAATAAAGTGTAAAATAGAGTGTCAAATCAATATCACAAGAGTCTTAGACATTTTATCATCATGGTAGGACTCTTGCTGTTCGAAACACTGTTCTAAATGGAAATATAATTCGATAAGGTAAAATATGGAATGATATTATTGGTCAATATCATACCAATAAAATAGTGTTAACATTAATTTAATGCATAGAGGAAAAAAAACTTGAAATCGAAGTCATTTACAATTATTTTATTTTTTTAATAAAATATTTAATAAGAAAAAAAATTTTTATTAATAAAAACAAAAATAAGATAAACAATCAACAATTAGAATATACAAACGAACAATTGTTGTTTCATTTATGTGTTCCAAGTCTCATTTTATTGTTCTTCTATAAAATAGTCCAAAGATCAATGTCGTCAATTTTTATTGAAGGTATGTATAACAAAATAAATTTTTTTTTTCTCATTTTCCATTTTCTATCAAATCCAAATGTTTATATATGATTTACCACAAAAAATTATTAAAAAAAAAAAAAAAAAAAAAATTTTTCAAAATGAGAAAATTTTGTTAACCCATCTGTATCTTCATTCTAGATTCCTCCGTTATTATTGGGAAATATCTGCTCCTGGCCTTCGCATCCATCTTCTGATCTCCCTCTCCTAATTCCTTGGGGTCCGAGATTTTCACCTTAATGTCAATTTGATTGACTTGGTTTAAAGAGGTGACATATGTGTTCCTCTCTAATTATCACACTATCATCGAATGATATTCTCTCTCCTTTCGAGAAAAAAAAAATTTAAGGCTAATTATATCTGTTTTTAATATATATATATATATATTTATTATTGTTTTTTCATTTTTATTTTGCTAAACTTTTTGTTTTATTTTGTATTCAAAAAAAAAAGAAAAATGATATTAAAAATGAAATTTTTCTTAATCATATAAATAATTTTCTTAGTCAATCTTACAGATCCCTTGGGACATTTACATTCATCAAATTTATACATTTACTTACCATGGAAACGAATCTCAATACAAATAATAAACGTTTAGCTAATGATGGTAATGATAATCAAGATAATACGAATACAGTTAAACGAACACGATCGACTAAAGTTGATTTAAGATTTTTATTGGCTTCACGTATGAAAACGAAAAACAAAATTTTTATAACAAAAACAAAATATTGTTTTTTTAAATATAGGTGATGCTGGAGCAATAATTGGTCGACAAGGAAAAAATATTCAAATGTTAAGATCTAAATATAAAACAATCATACAAGTTCCGGTAAAATTTTTTTCAATAATTTAATTCTTTCGGAACAGTTCAAATCTATTGATGTATACTATTTATCATTGATATAATTAGTATTATGTTCTGTGTTTTGATTTCTGACAATCTCGAGAGATATCCCTAATATTTATAATAAAATAATTTATTTTATTTGAATTTTTGATTTTAGGATCAAGATGGACCTGAACGTATTTTAACAATAGCTGGTGAACTTGAACAATGTCTTGATTGTCTTACAGATGCATTGGCAACAATGGCTGAAAATCAAAAATTACGTCAAGATGCAAGTGAATTACGTGCTCTTGTTCATACATCACAAGCAGGTATATTTGTTTATATATTTTATTTGATTAAATAATAAAAATTTTTTTTTGTTCTTTTGTTTAGGTGCTATTATTGGAAAAGGAGGTGAACGTGTTAAAGAATTAAGGTATAAGAAATAGAAAAAATATGTTTTGTTTTTTTGTAAATTGAAATGAATTTAGAGCTCGACATGGACTTGAAGTAAAAGTATTTACTGAAACATGGTAAATAATATTTTATTTTATTTTTTTTTTATGAATGAAATTTTTCTTTTTTTTATTTTTCAATTAAATAAAGTCCAAATTCAACTGATCGTGTTATTTTATGTCGAGGTGAACAACGAGCTATACTTAGTTGTCTTCGTGACATTTTTACACAAATTGAAAAAATTCCACCTCGTGGTCCTATTCGTCCATGTATAATAAGAAAATTAATTTGTTTTTTTCTTTTAAATAAATTTATCAATATTTAGATGATCCTTCATGTTATGTCGAACATCAAATTCAAGGCTATGGTAAAAAATAAAAAAAGACATATTTCTTTTAATAATAAATATATTTTTCAGGTGGTTTTGCACATGATGATACAAGTGTATATGGTGATCGACGAGTTCGTGGTGGTGGTGGTGGTGGTGGCGGTGGTGGTGGTGGTAGAGGATATAATAATTTTGATAATTGGAATATGAATAATATGCGAGGTGGAGATGGTGGTGGTGATGGTGGTATGTATAATGATGATTATAGTGGTTCATCGAATCAAAGTTTCTATCCACCACCACAATCTATAATGAGTAGTGGTAGTCAAGGTCCAATGCGTCCTTTAATCAATTCATTTTCAGAACCTCCTGCTACTCAAACACAACAAGTAAGATATGAAAAGATTTTTTCTTTTTTTGAAATTTTTATTTAGGTTACAATTCCACATGAGCTTGCTGGCGCTATAATTGGTTCACGCGGTACACGTATATCACAAATTCGTCAACAATCAGGCGCATCAATTAAAATTGATGATCCATTACCGGGAACTAATGATCGAATAATAACTATTATTGGTACTCCGAATCAAATATCTCAAGCTCAATATTTACTTCAAACTGCTGTTCGACAATCAGGTCTTTATCCAGGATGATTAATATATAAAGAGAAAAAAAATAAACTTATATATGAACATGTGTGTATCCTCTTTGCAAATAAAAAAAAAAAAAAAGAAAGATAACCAAAGTTTGATTTATTGATTGATTGATTGATTGATTGATTTTTTTTTGTTCCGTTTTATTTGTTTGTGTATAGTGATGCACTAATCTCTAGTTCATTTTGTTTTTTGTTTGTTCTACAAAAAAAAAAAGGAAAGGAAAGTTTTATTCCCACTTTTTGTTTTTTTTTTTTGGTCTATTCATGATTATCAAAAATAGATTTGTTCTTATGTGAAAACAATATTTATCGTACATTTATTGAATATCGAATGTTTTAGTTACATTTTCGTATTTCTTCATTATTTAATATTCGAGGGTATATACTTGCAAGTCTTATATTTCGATGAGATTTTGTTTAAAACTCAATAGAAACTTCAGTTGTTTTAGGATTTTTATTTGAATATCATGTAGTATCTATAGACAAAGAATTCATTGATATCGGAAGGAAATATTTCAACCGTGACGACAAATTTTCTGTAGGGGAAATAGTTACAGTCCTTGTGACAATGTAAAAGTTCTATTATGAAAACATGATGTACATATCATATATACTGTCATCAATATACTATCGTCAATCTTGATAATGAAAATAACTTGACACTATCATAAATCAACGTCAGAATTAGACAATGATATTCGAAAATTTCTTTGCCTATCAAAACATGTCTGGAATAGAAAAACAACATTACTATTTTTTTTTGCTTTTTGCTTTTTGCAAAAGATAATCTGGTTACTTAATTGTGATTCTGTCACGTTCGAAATGTTTATAAAAAAAAAAAGTCAATTAGTTCTTTGGATATAGAGAACTCATTAATAGAATCAGAAAACATCTTGTTTTTTTTTTTGTTTTAATCAAAAATGAAATATAAGGTATTTTCGTGATGGAATCATCTTCATCAATGGACTACTTTTCAAATGTAAATAATAATTTCTTTTCATTTTCTTTTTTTATTTAATAATATTAATAAAATGATAGATTTTTCATCAAATCATTTACACATATGAGCATTGAATTATTGATGTTTTCAATTTGTATCGTACAGATTCTCTTCAGAACCGAATTTCTATTGCAATCAAAATTTTTGATTGTATAACAATTATGATGTAGCTTCTCTAACGATTGTGAAAGAATTTTCAAAAAAAAACAAGCATAAATCAACAATCAAAATTCTATCATCTGAATAGCTTATAAGTCTATTTTCTTTTGAAAATGAATCTATCCTATAAGGTGACTATAGTGAGTTTTCAGTTATCAGATGTGCATCCGAATTGCCAATGGAAGATCTACAAAACTATACAAGTCTTAGATTTTTATATTTAATGATTCAGAAACTATAGGTATTCTAGTCAAAATTCTCGTCCGATTTTTCACAGCAATTGCTATAAAAAATAATACATTTTTATTTTCTTTTTTTTCTGCGTATGCCGAACGTGATCATTTTCTTCCGACGCTTTTTTTTATGAATCTGATTAAAAAATACTTTAGCAAACATCTTGAGAGAGCTTATAATATATATAATTCGATGCAACTTCATCTTCTCATTCCAATGATGAAAATCGCAGCGCTCTATCTTGTCTCTATCAAAAGTTCTTTTTGAAACAGGTATTAATTTTAAGAGACAGAACAAAATTAATATTATTTCTTCAGTTCTTTCACTTTTACGAACTATAAATTTTTCGACTATGATTCTTTTGTAGAGTGACTTCTCTATAAAAAATTGTACTATGTCTGTAGATAGCAAGATGACAAAATCAATTTTTGTGGTTTGAATTTAAATTGTAGCCAGCACTAAAGCTGCTATAAATCTGCATTTTGAATTCTGATTATAAGCGAATAGTCGAATCCATCCTAAGTGACTTCTATTATGATTCTATGTCTTTTAGATTGACAAAACTACAAATAAATTTGGATCGAAACAATGTTAATTTGATAAATACTAGCGAGCAATGAAATAGTACTTTTCAACAAAACTTCATAATCCCGCTTAAAACTTTGCATAAATAATTTTCTACATGAGACTAGTTCATTTTGAAAGTTTCATTTTTTATCATGAGAGATACGAATGTTCAAAATTCTTTTATGTGATACAAATCAAATTTTCTGTTTATATACATATCTTATCACAGAAACAACTAAAAAGATTGAAACATTTTGACAATGAATAAATTCCATTGAGAATATTATTGGATCGATCTTTAATGTGACTACAAAATTTTACCGAAAAATTCTGTAAAGAATCTATTTTTCAAAAATCTTAAGATTGAAACAGGCTCAGTAATCAGCATCGAGTGCGAAGTATAATTCAACAAAATATCAAGTTATTAGCCACAGTGATTATTCCTGGTTCTGTCCACTATGCATAGAAGGGACAAAGACTCTCTGATAGCACTTCTGAAGGCTCTTTTTCAGAGGAACTCAATCGATGGTAGAGAAGTGAAGTCTTAGTCGAGTTACATCATTGATACGTTCCACAATATTGAAATCAAAATTAAAGATATATATATATAGAGAAATGAAAAACCAAATATACCATATTGTAGAGCTTTTTGAGGTGCATCAAATGGTATATAGTAAACTTTGTTTTCGTAGGACTTTGAAGGACCTAAAGTCAATCTGCGGATAGACAACTGCATACACTCATACCCACACTGACAAGATGACCGGAAATACTACATATAGAAAGTTGTAACCCGTCAAAAACTCTACAAAATTGTATGTGAGAAAAATACTTTCGACTAATACCACGGACTACAATATTCACAAACTTATCATGCTTGGGTGTGGATGTGTAGTCGTCTATCAGTAAATTGATTCTAGTTTCTTTAAAATCTTATGACAACAGGAATTACTACATACTATTCGACGCGCCTTAAAAAGCTCTACAACATGATATATTTGATTTTTCATTTCTCAATAGATCCTCTTATCCGAAAAGATCTTTTAAATTTCGTAGCCAAAACTTTCGGTATGCCCTAAATACATTATTGATAAAGAATTTGTTCATAAATATACACTTTATTAATACCTATACAAAAAAAAAAAACCAAGAACTAATATAATTCTTTTATAATCATATAGAAAAAAAACAAATTTCATCTATGATTGAGCAACAACTGTAATATTATTTTGTTTTTTACAAATAAATATTTTCAAAAAAATCCAACCAGTAAATAAATATAATGGTACCATACAATGATTAAAAATATTTATTGTTGATGATAATTGTTTATAACTAAATGTTTTATATAATAAATTATTAAACATAATTAAACAAATAATTAATGGTATATGTGTAAAAATTTTATGTATAATTAAACGATATATATATGCTGGTGTTAGACTATTACGTTGTTTATATTCAAACCATAAACGAAGTAATACAATAAGAATAAAATATAAATGTATAGCATTAGTTAAAAATAATGGAAGAAATAAATAAAAATCTGTTATTGAATATAAATGAAAATCATAACGTAATACTAATAGAATTGAAAAAATTAACCAACCAAATAGAATAAATAATAATTCAATAGGACGAATACTTAACCAAGAATATAATTCTGTAAACGAAAGCATTTTTTTTTTTTTTTTTTTGTTGCTGTTCAATAACAAAAAGGATAAGATGTTGTTATTTGTTTCCTATGATGATTCATGATTAATATGGGTAAAATATGGAAGAAAAAGTTGTCAAAAAAAAACAGCAAAGGATTTTTTTCCATTGTTAAATAAAAATGGATCCTTCTGGTGTTGTTCGTCGAGTTGTTAATAAACCACGAGATGTTATTCCTCGAAATCCACCAATTAATCCTGATGTAAAGAGTTTTTGTCTTTTTTTTTTAAAGACTTTTGTTTTGTTTTTTTTTTTGTATTAGACATTATTAGATGTACCAGAATTTAATTTTATATATAATGATTCTGATTCAATACATGCTGAAATAACTGGTAGAAATTTGAATTTGATTTAGAATTCTTTATTTATTTATTTATTTTTCCTATAGAGTTATATACTTATTCAGAAGAACCAGAATTTGTTTGGAATGCTGAAGCATTTAATATCTTTTTTCAAGCTAAATGTATGAGATAAATATAGAGTTTTCTTTTTTTTTTTTTTTTATTTTTGCTTATTATTATTGTTGAATTTTTTGTTTTGAATAGATGGTGAAAATAAAAAATGGAAAGATTATTCAAAAGATGATAAAATTGATTTTATTGTTTATTTATTGGAACAATGTGAACTTGTTGATAGAACTCGAAGATGTCAAGCAATGAGAGCTATTCTATATCTTGTACAAGGTAATGATTTTCATAATTATTTGAAAATATTGATATTTAATAACTTTCAAATGTTAATACAATCTGACCGATAGAAAAAAATACTGTTTTTTGTTATGTGAGACTTTTACCTTATATATATATATCTAAATATGAAATTCATATTCAATAAAAATATTTTTATATCGAGAAAAAAAAACGAGTTTTGTTATTTGGAAATTTGAGGCTTTTCTAGATATTGATGTTGAGAATGGAGTGATATTCTGCTGAACAATATTTCCGTAAAAGCGAAAGATTTTTTTTTCTACGAATCGAAAAACACAGTACGATTATTACTAGTGAGAGCCTGTGCATACTGCACGGATGCTTTTTTTTTGGAAAGTTTCATATCTGTCCTTTAGCCTTGATTCGGTAATAGACAATCAGACAGTTCGCATTATATATATCGAGAGGTCTTATACTCTTGTGCTATTACCTCTTATAACCTTATTCCTTTATCCCTTATATTCCATGCAACCTCATCTACTTATCCGCTATACCCTCATCTCATTATAGTCTTTTAGTTTTATCCCATTATCCTTAATCCCCTATCCCTTATAGCCCTTGAAGACCTATGGATACCCTCATATAACAGCTCTTGAGGGCCTATTGGTATCTCCATAT